GGCGAGAGAAAAACATAAAAGACATACATACAACTCTACACTATGTATGTATATATATATATATATTATGCTGTTTCAATATGCCTTAGATATGCTGTTTCAATAAGCCTTATTGAAATATTTCAATAACCATTATTGGTTTGTTTCAATAAGTCTAGTCGTTTTGGGGGTCATCAGAATTATTGAAGCAGATCAATAATGGCTATATTTCAACAAGCCCTATGCAAACCAATAACATTATTGAATCTTTCCAACAGAGCGCACTCTGGGTAAAGGAACCATTATAAAATAAAAGTCTATACTTTTTTCTCCCTGGTTACTTCAACGCCCAGTTAAAACCCCTGAACCGCATGCGCTACGAACCCCCCAAACCAAACCCTAAACTGGCTGCACACTTGCATTCATGCTAGCTGAGGCCTGATTATATACATGCTAATAACTATGTTCGAATTGGATGGTCAATGGTGCCCATAATTGGCGCTTCGAAAAACTTATTCTTGTGTTGGGAGCGGGGATGCTCATAACACTACACCCTACAATGCTTAAAGCACAAGTCGAGAAGCGTATCATGTGTCAAAACCGCTAAAGGATCCTATCAAGTTGGGTTCCATATAGACTTTATCCTCGGGGTCTGAACGCAAAGGCGGTGTCAGCCTGTTCGTCGACCCCATGCAGATCCTAGTTGCGGTCCAGCTTGGATCGTATAGCAGGGCGCAAGCATGTATAAACTCATCATGGTTACCGGTCGACCGGGGGGATCCTACGCATGATCTTGGAGCTCAGGAGAATCTTCGCCTCATACCCGTTCTTGTGACTGCGGCCGCGCTGTGGCCGGAATTTCGCAGACTAGCATTCATGGTCCTGACCTGACCAATAGCTGGCTTTCAAGCCCTGTATAATTGTACTCTATGTAAATACAGCACCCTATAGCTTGGAAGGCATAAGGGACCCCGGCATTGACAACCGCCCACATGGGTGCACAAGTACGGTTATCAGTTGTTGCCTTGACTAGCTAGGTCAGAGTTGAGGTTTAGTGTTTTAATATCATAGGGTTTAGGATTTAAGGTTGGGGAAGTTCAGTGTTTATAGAGTATAGGATTTAGGGACTGGGGTTTAGGGCTTAGGGTTTGGCGCTATTGCTTGCAAGCCTGCAGCAAAAGGGTTTGGCGCTTAATTAGGGGCTTAGGATATTGAGGATCCGGCTTTCGGGTCTTTTTCGGAGTCCCGCTGTTCAGTTTTGAGTCGCAGGGGAGAATCAGGTCCTTTACAGCGCTGGCGCGGGCGATACATCCAACGACGATGTCGCGACGGCTTTGAGATCCGAGTCCGAGGTGGGTTGTGTGGGTCCTATAGGGATTCAGGGTTTAGGGTACGCTAGCATAGGTGCTGGCCGGCACCTCAGTCCGTGCCGTAAAGGGTACGCTAGTCCTTAGGGTTGCTCCGTGCAGTAGTTTCAGTTGAACACCGCCCCCCCAGAACCTTGATCAAAACTACTCAGGCTTCTGCAGTAGCCGAGCACATGTTTGGGTTGTGTGTGTGTGTGTGTCGGCTTCATGTTGTGTTATGGGAGTGTGCGCTAACTTGCAAGAGCTGTTTCAGATTCTGAGTAAAGACGGGTTTACGGTCAGTAGCAAGGGGTCAGAGTAACCATAAACCCTATACCGAAAACCTACAACCCTAAACCCTCAACCCTAAACCGAAAACCTGCACCCTACACCCAAGTCTTCGGAGGATACCGACTGCCCAGAAGCTCTCCGCCTCCTGCAGCGCCGACAGCGGCGAAGTGCTTCGGGATGGACTTTACGGTTCAGGGTGTAGGTTTTAGGGTTTAGGGTTTTAAGGTTTAGGGTTCAGGGTTCAGGTTTTAGTGTTTAGGGTTCAGGATTTAGGGAAGTGGGATTTTAGGTGGTTTAGGGAATTATGGTAATACAGGTATCTGACACTATCTAGCGAAATAACCATTCATTCCCTGGCAGTCCAGTGCACCCCCGATGTTCAGCCCAATCTATCACAACACAGGGAAGCTGCAGGAGTGGTTCTTGGCTGCAGGCAGACCCTCCAAACCTTTAACAAAGGTTTTGTGAAGCCTACCCTACTTCTACTTTAGCCTCCTAGATTGTAGGGTCGTATTCGATGGGTACAGTATGTCTCAAATGTAGATTTACATACCTTCACAGATCGATAGATAGATAGATCGACAGATAGATAGATAGATAGATAGATCGACACATAGATAGAGAGATCGATAGACAGGTAGATAGAAGGATAGACAGATAGATAGATAGATAGATAGATAGATAGATAGACAGACCGAAAGGTAGATAGCTCGATCCATCGCTAGAACGATAGATCGATAGATGGATGGATGGATAGATGGATGGATTGAATCATAGATAGGTATAGATAGATAGATCGATAGATAGAGAGATAGAGAGATAGACCGATCGAATACATACAGGCATACATGCTACACTGACGAGTTCATGGGCATTAGAAGGACCAAGCTAAAACAGCAGGCGCTTGCTAGGTCGTGGTATACCGTGCATTCCTCAGAATGTCCAGTGCCTTAACACCTAAATTAGGAACCCTGATTAAGACATCCTTTCCCTAGAACCCCAATTTACAAAGAACCCTAATAAAGACCCGGGTTTCTTAATCAGGTTCCTATGCTAGGGCTTAAAATCTAAGGTGGCGAGATGGGTCGCGGCACAGACCTGGCTCAAGCCGGAGCTGTGGATTGCTCCAGCACGGAGATCTTGGATTTGCTTCTTGGATCTACTCCAGAGTTCAAGGTCGGTTTCGGGTTTAGGGTTTAAGGTTTAAAGTAAGGTTTGGGTTTATGATTTAGGGCAGTGTTTCGCTTTTTCGCCGTCATGAAGGGCGTCGGATTTCCGTCGAGGGTTGGGATGGGCCGCCCCCATCAAAACCGCAAACCTAAACCCCGGACCTTGAACCCCAAGCCTTGTATCGTGGGAGCCTGAAGATCTACCAATACTATAACTATACCCCCCTCTCCCCCAAACCCTAGTCTAAGTAGTAAAGCACCTATGATCTTGAATCCTTATGCATAGTAAGCTGTCTTGTGACGCCTTAGAGGAACCCTTTCAACGCCTGAACCCCCTTTGAACCCTGAGGTCGGGTAGTCGGATCACTCGCTGGCCTTTCCGGCCGGGACAAAGCTGTCTCTGGGTTCTGTAGTACTATATTTTTTTGTTTTGGGGGGCGGACCTGTTCCTTAAAGGAGCCCGTATGAAATAAACGTCTGTACTCTGTTCTCCCTGGTTACTTCGACGTTAAAGGTCCTCAGCTGCAAAACTTGGACTTGTCCGACAACATGCTGCAGGACAATGGGTGCGCATTTACAGTCTAGGGTTTAGGGTTTCCAGCCAGCTGCAAAATGGGTTAGGGTTTGATGGGGATATCCGTGAACACCTGCCGGCACATAAAATTCGCCGAAGCTTCCCACAAGTGTACATGGGCCAGCTAACAACCTGGAACCAGCGCCAAGCATCCTGCTTTCGAGCTTCCGAAGGTAGCCCTTGTGGAATGAGGCTTTTGGACCTCCTTTAGCATCGGACATAGTTCTTACAGTCGTGGAGGGGTTTAGGATCTGTTCGCGGTTTAAATGGGGGTTTCCGAAAATAGGGGACCCTAATATAGTACCCTAAATAGTAGGATCCTTAATATAAGGACCCCCAAATAAGGTACCCCTAATTTTCGGAAACTCCCAAATCTGTGTAGAGCTTTGGAGTTTGTTGCAGTGTTCGGGTGCCTCTAGCTCGGCTAAGACGTAGCCAGCAAGCAGCAGACTCATGTGTCTCAGCCCTGTTGCTGCCCCGAAGCAACATACGATCGGAACCACAGCCTGGGCTTTGGAGTACCATACTTTAATACTTTTTTGGGGGACCTGTTCCTTAAAGGAACCATTATAAAGTAAAAGTCTATACTTTTTTCTCCCTGGTTACTTCAAAGCCCAGCAGCTCATATGAAGTGAGGCCTTTCGTTTGATTGTTGGCGATTGTCGACTCCTCAAGAAAGTCGGTAAGCAGCTTGGGAAGGGTAGGTGTAGGATCTTCACTAAGAACCAGAACCATAAACCCTAAACTAAGCCCTGACACCAAATGAAACCCTAAACCCTAATGCCTAATCCCACCTAGTCAGCGAAGCGGGCTTGCAGAAAGATGCCTAATCCCTAAGACCTGAAGCCACATGCCAAGGAGCTTCCGGTGGACGCTTTTGTCGGCATGCCCAATCTCACCGTCCTCCGGCTCGCCCACAACGGCTTTCTGGAGTTTCCGAGCCGTGGTATGGGGAATTCCGCAAGCCCAGTTGCAACAAACTGTTGGGGAAATTGTAAAAGGGCTACAGAAAGGATGACTCTAAGGATTACTATAGGGTTACTACAAGACTACAAGGGGTACAAAAAACGGTTTAGGTGGTTTAGGGTTAACAAGTTTGTCCTAGCTAAAGGGCAGGGGGACTACAAGGGGTACCATAGGTAGCAATTACTTTGAGAGGGTCAGCGTTTGGCATTTTAGGATTTAGGGTTTAGGGGTTAGGGGTTTCGGGTTTGGGTCAGGGGTTAGGGTGCACTAAGTAAGCAGAAGTTTAACCGAAACTTTTTTGCGGTATTACAACCGCGATCTAACCCAGGAAACTGCACAAGTCAGGAACACGACGGGCCTGAAATCCCTCTGGGAATTAGACCTGAGCTCCAATGCCATCTCCTCGATACCTGCCGGAGCTCTGTTCGAAAATCCTGAGGCACATGGGGATTCGGGGGTTTAGGGGTATAAAGGGTTAGGGTTTAGAGTTTAGGGGTTCAAAAATTAGGGGTTTAGGGGTTTAGGCAGTTTTCTAAGTTAGGGTCCTGGTTTAGGTCTCCAAAATAGCACGGCACCCTTAGAGAATTACCCACGTGTGTCTATACATGCAAGGGTTGGGCTGAAATTTCTGTTTAGATCTTATGAGATATGTCAAGCTGCACTGGCAAGAACAAGCACCTCAGGGGCAGTTTGAGGTGCATTGGGGGTTTATTGGTATTCGTCGGTGGTTTTACATAAGTGCCCTGGCAGCGGCACGAAGCCTCTGCCATCTGTTCGTTTTCGCACTTCCTTGGCGGTGCCAGGTGGTGCATCTGGACCTGAGCAGGAACAAACTTAGTGACTTGCCCAGCTCCGGCGAGTGGCTGCCCGAGTCCAATGTCCTTAGCTACCTGACGGTCGCTCATAACCAGATCAGCCACCTGGATTGAGGAATGACCTGGGTATCCCAAAGCCTAGTGTTTTGTTGGGATATATCCTATAATAATTAAGGGGTCACAGCCTACTATTCTGTAGGGGTTGCGGTTAGACTTCGAGTTTCGGGTCCTGGCGTGCTAGACGCCAGATGGGATTGTTTTCGCGGGCTCAAGCTTCAAGCGGGAGAAGCATGGCACAGCAAGCAGAAGTCGGACCATGACACAGTCTTTGGCTAAGACGTCTGAGTGTTCCTCCAAAAACACCCACAGGCCGATCATTGAGATGCAGAGCCGGCACTGAGCGCTCGAAACTTGAAGCATACTTGTCGGTTGAGGCTGAAGTAACGGAGGAGTATCTTATGTGAAGAGTCATGTTCCGGCGTTTCAGAGTTCCCAGCCGTCACAGCCCAGATTATTAGCAGAACGGGCAATTGCGTGCGAAAGTCTTAGTACGCTGAAATTGAACTCTGTGCCTTCACCGTGAAAGCAAGCGCCTGGGATTTTCCTCTCAGGACTCCCGGTCGTTTCTACCCAGAGAGCCCAATACCCCTTAATTAAGGAATATACCTTAAATCATAATATTATGGCCCCTATGATTTAAGGTATATTCCTTAATTAAGGGGTATTGGGCTCTCTGGGTATTGCCCTGTAAAGAACCTGATAGTTCTAATCATCAAGGCTCTTTTTTTGAATGGAACCGTTATAGCAACCCTTTTAACTACTAACCTCTGGAGACTCCTTAAAGGAGCCTATTCCAGTTTCTTAAGAACAAACCTTAGAATCTAAGGCCCGTGTGAAATCCAGTCCAGAACCCTAGTAGTTGCCGCATAAAAACCAAAGGAAAGCCTGCCCCCCTCTATATCGAAGGCTCTCTCGGAGACGCGTTCTTTCGTGGATTTGCGGATCTGGACTGGCTGGACTTGAGCGGGAACGGCTTACAGATGCTGGATCCCGAAAGATGGCAGCACCGGAGTGCCGGAATTTTTGGGACAGGTTTGAGGAGGAACGCGCCATTCCGTGCAGGGTTGATACATAGTCTGATAGCAGGAGTATTAGAGGAGGATTTGTAGCAACAGTGTAGTATTTGTTGTGCTGGTGCTGGCGCTCGTGCTGGTGGCGGTGGCAGTGGTGGCGCTGGTAGTGCCAGTGCCCGTAGCAGTAGCAGTGGTAAGAGAAGATCTCTAAACCCTCGAGTGCAGCTCAGGAATCATTTGCAGGAGTAGAGGACTTGGACAATCTTCTTCTGATTGGCAACCCGCACTATGGCTGCAGTGCTGGCCTTGAGTTGCTTCCTTCTTTGGGATCCTTAAAGCCTTAAAGATACATGGGTGGTTGTCAAAATTATGGTCCCTTTTTGGGTCCTTATTATAATACGGCACCTATTATCTAGGGTACCCCAAAAGGGGCCATAATTTTGACAACTACCCATGTGAATGTAAGGTTTGTCGGTTCAAGAAGCCATAGCACGGAGGTCCCCTGGATTGACAGGGTCACTTGGTCCTACGGTTGTCGGGCCTTTGAGTGCCGGGTTGCTGCTGCAACACTGGAGTTCTACAATAGTTAGACGCCGAAATACCTGCCAAGACTAGGCCGTATGGTTCCTTAATTTAACGATACCCTACTTTACACCAAATCCTGTTCTAAGGTGCTTTTTTACTTATTCAGGGTCTCGGTCTTTCGAGTTCGAGGGAAGTTTCTGCGCTGCAGGCTTGGCTGTCGAATCCCTCTCATTGACACCTGCTTCTGTCCCGGCGACTGCTCTGCGAACACCACCCGCGAGGCAGCAGAGGAGGATGAGGATGAGGAGGATGAAGATGAGGAGGATGAAGATGATGAGGATGACGACGAGGCTGACGACGGGCCTTTGATTAAGGTTCCTGCCTCCTGGTGCAAGCTACCACTGTGCATTTCCAAGCGTTCAGTCAGCTCGGGCAGCAATGCCTCCGTCGCCGCGGCCGAGCAGGAGATGTTTGGAAACAGCACGTCAGGCAGTGCAGCCGAGAATGCTTCCAACACCACGTATGTGGCGGAGAAAGCCGGAAACAGGCGCAACACGACATCAGCCAAAGGAGCCGATGTCATTTCAAACGCTACGTATGCAGATGCAAAAGCCAAAAGGTCTGGAAACAGCACATCGGCCAGTAAAACCGAGAACATCTCCAAAAGCCTGGAGGTGGGTGCTCAAGCCAAAGGCATGAGCAAGAGGACATATCCTATGCTGTAGCTTCGGGTGAACATGTAAGAGGCCTTCCTCGACCCTCCTTCTACCCTCTATTTAGACCTTAAATACTACCTTAAGAACCCAAAACCTACTTTTTTGTAGGGTCCCTATAAATCCCATATTAGGGTTTATAATAAGAACCTACAAAAAGTAGGGCTTTGGGTTCTTAAGGTATTGGCGCCCATGTACCCGAATTTGAGGGTAGAAGGAGGGTCCTGGTTGCAACCTGTCCCCGAATGGGTTCCAGCAACTGGCCCAGCAAATTGCGGTCGAATGAGGCAAAGTTGTCCTCAGAGATCTGATGACTACCCTAAACCCTAAACCCTAAACCCAGTAGCCGATTACATGTGCAGCATTCTGAAAGGAACCGGTCGCCGCGCAATAGCCGCGAGATGGGCATGAATCGAAAAAAGCCTCGGAGTTTAGGGTTTAGGGTTTAGGGAAACCAATGCATGAATGAACTCCTCCATTTACTCGGTTTAGGGTTTAGACATTGAACTCGGCTGCATGCCCAAGCTTCCAGTGTCCCTAGCCTTATCGACATGCACCTGTCCTTCGCTGCTTCCCCACCTGGCAGTACAAAGTGATGCTGCTTAAATATGTGGAGGGCGGCCCAGGCCCAAGGATGACAGAGGTAGTGTAAATGACCTGTTTAAATCCCAAAGTTCAAATATCTACTGCCCTCCTTCACTCCAAGCCCTCCAGCCTTCCGGCCCTCCAGCCTTCCAGCCTTTAAGCCCTGCAGTTTTCCGGCCTTCCAACCCTCCAGCCTTCCAGCCCCCTCAGCCCTCCAGTCCTCCAGCCTTCCAGCCTTCCAACCCTCCAGCCTTCCAACCCCTCCAACCCTGTAGCCTTCCAGCCAGCCATCCAGCTCTCCAGCCTTCCAGCCCTCCAGGTGTCCAGCCTTCTGCCAGCCTTCCCTTTTCCAGCCCTCTCGGCCGGCTGGAACAGGAAGGTTGAAGGGGCAGGCTGGAGGGCTAGAAGGCTGGAAGGTGGGAAGGGCTGGAGAAGGCTGGAGGGCGAAGGATGGAAGGCAGGTGGTGGGGGAAGGAAGCAAAACTTCCGGATGTGTTAAAGTCGGGCGGCCCAAAGCCACTGCTGTTAGACCTAGTGCAAATGACCTGTTTGAGCTGTTTAAATGTCCGGGTGTTTAAAACTAGGCGCCGTACGGTACTATACCAACGACACAGGGTGTGCAAAGCACTACTTTCAAAGGAAGCGTGGAAGCGGGACTCTGTACGGGTGAAATAGTCCCCATGCCCACCCCTCCAAGCCGCTGGGGGCCCCACCTACCATATGGGCCTTAATAATTACCTATACTATTTTTGGAGGTTCCTTATTATACATAAAGCATAATGGGCCCCGAAAGCCCTATTCTAATTATCAAGGCTCCTACATTAGGGGGCTCCACCTACCTGCACGACACAGGCCTCAACTAGGCTTCAGCATGAAACGCGGTATCCCGCGCCTGATTACCTTATGGTTATGGCTTCCCCGACTCCTAAACCTTAAAGCCCCAAATCCCCAAAACCCATGTAGTTCTCTAAATTAGGGTCCCTTTTTGGGTCCCCAATATAGTACGGCACCCTTATAAGAAGGACCCGAAAACTACCCACATAGACCGGAATCCCGACATCCCTAAGCCCTAAACCCTAAACCCTAAACCCTAGCCGCAGGTCTACAGTGCAGCTACCAAGCTTCCGAAGGAGAAGGAGGGCGAGCCGTCAGCAGACGCAGGCCGAGGGATCCTCTGGTTTGGGGTGTGGGGATTTCTTTAGTTGAGTAGGGTTTAGGGTTTAGGGTTTAGGGTTTAGGGTTTAGGGTTTAGGGTTTAGTTTGGTTTACAGGACCCACCTTGTTTCCTCGAATAGAGGTATATGGTCCCCAAATAATGGGCATTTAGGGTCTAATAGAGGGTAGAATGAGATGGAGGGTCTAGGTAGTTGGGTTTTGTATTCTTTCCTGACTGTTCTTTAGGAGTCGTTCTGTAGTTATGTTTTCAGTGTAACACAAACCCAACAGGGTATCCAGACATGTAGATATATTTTGTTCAAGTTTGACCACGGGGTGCTCCAAGGACCGGTGTAGTAGAGCAGGTTTCAGGGTTTGAGTTCGTTTATATAGCCTCCATGACCGCAACAACGCCTTGCTTGCAGCCTCCATCATAGCACTGAGGCTCACAAAACGACATAGTGGACTAAGAACATGACTAGAAAACATGAGTGGTACATAGAATATGCTTCCGCCTGGCAGGCTATGCTCTTGACTTCACTCACCTCTACTATGACCGGTCTTTCCTCTACTCCACCAACAACGATTCGTAAACGTCTACACCCTATCAAACCCTAAACCCCAAACCCCATTGGCTCGGACCTTCTTTCCACGCCTGCATTGCGCGAGTGTGTGAGTCGAAACCTAGATTACATAAACCACAAGCGCGCAAAAACAACTTCCCGCCATGTCAGGAGGCGACGCCTCCGTTCCGGAGGAACAAGCCCACGAGGTCAGCCTGGCCCGGGTTGAGGGTTTAGGGTTTCATTGAGTTTGAGGCTCAGGTTCAAGGTTTAAGGTTGAGGCTTTGGAGGTACTTCCACTTCTGTAGCAACACCGCAGCAGCAGCCTGCTGTTGCCCATCTTCCTCCACCGCCTCCTTTTGCTCCTAACCACGGCTGTGACGACTTGCCGTGGAACTACTGTAGCACTTCCACTAGCTGCCGCTGCCGGTAGTAGCAGTAGTAGTAGCAGTCGTCGTCGTCGTCTTCGTTATTGTCGTCGCCCTTGGCGGTAGTGCATGGTAGTAGCAATAGTATGGCAGCAGTGTTGTAGCAGTAGATCAGTACATCAGTACAGCATTATCAGATTCAGAAGTAGTATGGAGTAGTAACCGCAGAACAGTGACAGCAAGATTACAATCAGAAAGATGAACATCTCAGCTTTCCTTCCTTGGTCCGACTTCCAGTACGAGGCCGGAAGAATTACCAATAACATCACCGTAGAATCCCACTTTTAACGGTAAATACCTACCCATAGGCCCCATAGTAGTTCCTTTTGGGGGTTACCTTATAGGATTCTATATATGAGCCCCCAAAAAGGAACTACTTTAGGGCCTATGGGTATACCAGGGCCTAAGTGTGAAGACCCCTGCGCTGTAGAAACCTTTCGGTAAGCCTTGGAAGAAAACGTGCAGGAACCCTGCTCGTACCATTAAGGCGCTTAGATTCAACCTTGATTAAGCATTATATATCAAGTCACCCTTGTAGAGCCCGAATCAAGAACCTTTGAAAGCCCAAAGCCCCGATGTCACACAACCCTCGGTAGCCGCAGCCCTTTTGCAAAAGAACCCTCTCAGGAACACTGTTCTAATTTATCAGGGCCCTAGATTAAACCCTAAACCCTAAACCCTAAACCCTAAACCCAAGACTGCCGAGGTCGAGGCTGCGATGGAGGATGCTCTTCCCAGCTTTTTGCAAACAGCCTGGTCCTACGTCGTCCGTGACATCGACAAGACGGTGCCCGTGGGGGTTAGGGTTTTGGGGCCTACAGGGTTTATTTAGGGTTTAGGGTTTAGGGTTTTAGGGCCTACAGGGTTTATTTAGGGTTTAGGGTTTAGGGTTTATGGTTTTAGGGCCTACAGGGTTTAGGGCTTCCGGGGTCCGTAGTGCTCCAGGAGACTCCGAGAATGCCCGAAGCAGCTACTGCAAACAGTTCTTGCAGCTGAGCTCTACATTCAACTAATGCGGCCTGGAAGACCCTATAACACTCAAGCATTAGACAGATGTTCGACGTTGCAAGTAGCCATCACCCCTGCATCTCAGCTTCGTCCCAGCAAGGAGGGAGGCCAAACATAAACATCAATTCCTAACCATTCTCGACCTTAAACCCCAACCCCTAAACCCCTAAACCCTACACCGGAACCTGAAACCATGCACCAGAACTCAAAGCCCCAAGAGGCCCTTTGGATCATTACTGTCCTGACATCTATGCGGATCCTGCCCAAAATCCTGAACCTGAATGCTAAACACTAAAGGCACTAAAGCTTCGAAACTCATAGACCTATGGCTTTAAACTTAGTTCTCCAATACCCAACCTTTCTTTTGGGGCTCTTACCATCTAGTCGCAATCTGGGAGTTTAGCCTTTTATTTCCCTGGCTTATTGGGAAGTAAGCAAAGCCCTAAACCAATCACGTGAATCCCTGAAGAGGCCTTCACTTTCCGAGCCGTGATCTCAATGCAAAAAATACAAGTTCCAACGTCCTAGTGGCTTAGTGGCTGGGGCTTAGGGTTTGGGATCCTAGCACCGTCGATTTGCGAGCGACGCCAAGAGCCCTAAGAGGGCTTTAGATCAAGAGTTGATTGGGTACAGGAGCTTAATCTTCAGACCGTTGAATGGTTTTAGTTTTACAGACGAACACCGAGACTTACTCCTCACGCAAGACTCCCAGTTGGCCCGGCCGCCAGGTGAGGGACGTGGGCCGCAAGTTTCTTCAAGACAAGTCGGTGTTGGGCGCTTAGTGCGTCTGGTGTTTGGGAACGGAGTGAGCTCTAATTTGTGCCCTTGCGCGATATTCCAGAGTCTTCTTCATGCCTCTGAACCCTTAACCCCTTAATTAAGCCCGAAGAGCTAACGTGCCACAGACAGTAGCAGGTTGGTTTGATAGCGAGACCGCTTTGCATGCTTGTGCCTGCGCTGCGCATGAACGAAGAAGTTGCGACGGTATGTGGGAGCTGCCACACTGTCCCCAGGGCGGGATTCTACTGTACAGTTCGTGTTGTGCGTTGTCGAAGCCATCGTAGCCTGACGCCAAAAGCTTCTTAATTACCGCTTGAACCCACGAAGCATCACCTTTGCTTTGTTTTTATGAGTGATAATTATCCTTATCTATGCCATCGGTGCTGCTATGTCATATGCTGAGCATGTGTGTGTGTGTGTGTGTGTGTTTGCTGTTCGGCTTTTGCTTTCGCGACATATGTCAGGGTTGCCCTTCGCTTCCGGGTTTTGGCCC